ATAGCTAAAACTTGGAAACAGCCCAAATGCCCATCAACTGGAGACTGGATCAAGAAAATGTGGGGTTTTTTTTAATAAAATGGAGTACTACTCAGCCACAAACAATGAGAAATTAGAGAAATTTATTGCTAAATGGATGCATATTGAGATGATACTCTTAAGTGAAATAAACAGGACACACATGTGTAAATACCAAATAGTTTCTCTAGTATGAGAAACTGAAAGTGTAAATAAGGACTAAACGGTACAATAGATAATGTGAAATAGGAAGAAAAGGGACAAAGGGGAGGGGTAAGTGGGAGGGGTAGGGGAAAGGAAAGAGGGGTATGGAATTAATATGAGAAAAGGAAAAAATGGAAACAAAGTCTTTGTAAATAGGCGGGGGGTGGAGGGGTGGATGGAGGGGTTGAAGGGAGGGTAGAGGAAGGGGGAAAAATAAGAACCAAGAGAGTATGCAAAGGTGCATATCTCCAATGATGAATGTCATTATGTTGTATACCTAAAATGTACCAATAAAAGGATATACAAAAAAAAAAAGAAAAATAGTAATGAGCCTAATTTTCTATTTGGTACGGTATAGTGAAAAGAACTCCAGAAAGATTAAAAATAATGATTGTAATCTGTGGTTTCATGTCTTAAGAATTATCACTTTAAATAAAATATTAGTTAATTATCCATATGACCTAAACCTGCCACTGAGTTTGGGTCATTGGCCAAGTCAGCTCTTTCTGTTCCTCCATTTCAGGAAAACTAAGTCACATACAATGAACCACATTGTTTGTAAACTTTGCTAAATACTTCTTCATTATGTCCTCTGTTTTACAGATTTGCTATAATGAATCGAAAAGCCCTTGATGTTTTTGGTACTGGTGCATCTAAACATTTTCAGGATTTCATCCCCAGATTGGATCCAAGATATACAGTTGTAACACCAGAATTACCCATAGAGTTTTCTTGAAGACAACTATAATTTATTTATGTGGCTATATGTCTCATCATTTTATGCTGAAGAGTTAATTATGTTTAACACAAAGAAGGGGGCCCAAGCTCAAACTTCAGCGTTATTTCATTGAGAGATCTTTTTGTTGTTGTTTTTTTACCAATCAGAAATACAGAAGCTTTTTAGGAAGGTGTTGCTTAATAATTAAGCTTCCTCTATAGCCAGAATATAATTCTGAAATCACAATAGTGGTTGACATTATGATGTATTATTGATTAAATTATGTCCACAAACAATCTGGAGTGATCTATGTAGAGTATACTTAAAATTACTTTAAAAGATACTTTTGGTTCATTCCAATATAATTCCTGGTTAAAACTAAGAATATTTATACATTTTAGGATTTACAAAGGATCACGGGTACATGGATTTGGTCTGTATTTTTTTAAATTTGAATTGTTATTTGTAGTAGTGGAATGTTAGGTTTGAAGGAATCTCCATCGACAGTGCTGCTTCAGTATAGAGCAATATAATTGGAGAAGAAAGCAGCCATTTGTATTTCAGGGATGTTAAAATGGGTCTTATCCCATATAGGTGAATGTTGTGGTATCCGTACTATTTCTGTCAACTGATAACACCATTTCTCCATGACCAGCTAAGCTGTTTGGCAGCCCAGTGAACCTACATATTGATTGGTTAGAGACAAATGGAAAGCCACACATCTGATATAGTTGAAATGTATGTTTTAATCTTTTACAATAGGATTACACTTGAATATTTTAAAACAAATATTTTAAACCTACAGAAATATATATATATATATTTTTCATTTATAGAGACTGAATTCTTTATTGTTCAGTTTGTATGGTGTTGTTTTGGAAGAGATCAAAGTCCTATAGATCAAAAGTCTTGTCAAGTTTAGCAGTTTGTACCTTCTCAACTGTTTCTCCTAAGTAATGGATGTTTTACAACTAAAAACAGTATTCAAATCCAGTGGTTATTAAAAAGTCCATTTTATTATTAATTGGATTCATATTCTCCAGCTTCCTTTTCAGAAATCACTGTCATTGTTTTCACTGTGGATTAAAGAAGTGACAAAATATAGTCATTGTTGATTATAAAAGTAATTCAGGACAGCTGATGGAAATATGATCACCATTTCAAGTTTTTCAGGGAAAGGTTATACATCTCTAAATAAGAAGCTTACATGGTTGTGATGTCTACAGTTAATGTAACATATAAGAATGGTGGTACTTTTTTTTAAATATAATTTTGTTGCTAAAAGTTTTAGGCCATTGTAAATTATTCAGTAGAACATGTGTTGCAGCAGGAATTATAATCCAGGTGTTAAAAATAATTAATCCCATATTTGATTCTATCAAGCATTGTACACTTCTGTTTCTATATAATCTTACCCTTGGTTGCTATGGCAAATTGAAACCCAGCAAAAAGACAGACTCTATTCCTATGGTAACAGAGAGCTGCTGTTTGTGAAAATTTCACATAGTGATTAACTTTTGAGAGTGGACTTATCTCTTTGGCAATACTGTTAAAAGATCATTTTGGTTTCAGACTTCAACTTTGATTAGTAAGTGTAAATTTAAATTTTTATTCACTGGAATCAAAATGATGATTGGTACTGTGTTTACATTTAAAAATTGAAGTATTAAAGCACTGAAAAAGCACAGCTACCTACACCTCATTTTTTTTCTGTTCAGAATTTATGTTTATAATATTTTTCCTGTTAGGTTAAAAATATATTTTAATCCATAAGTTGTTATTTTCACTGAATTAAAGACTGATACTGAAAGACAAATTCTGTTTCAACTTGGTGACATTGTATAGTAAAAATTTGCTGGTCAAAAAGTTGCGTTTCAGTGAGTTTTTTTAATAAATTGCACTTATGTTTTTATTTTATATAAAATGTAAAATGAAATAACCATCATGAAGAGAACAAGAGAATATGTAGCTTGAATGGGTAGTTAACTAGTTTGCAGTGATGAATCAAGCAGTTCAGTTTGATTTTGTTAGGATAGACTCAAGGTACTTGTTCTAGCAAACATAAAACAAATTTTGTGTTTCTGAAAGACAAAGTGAATCTTTCTGCCTCTACTCAGGTATTGATTGACAGTTTCTTGGCCTCATAAAAAAAGTCAATTAGATATCTCCATTCCAAAGCACAAATCATCTTTTAAGTTTTTTTAAATTGTGAATAAATCATGCTTTTAGTAAGTTTCCACCAAACATGATTATAGTAAACAATAATCTTCCCCCTTAATCTTTCCAGCATCATCATGTGGACTGAAAACAGTGCATTTGGAGCAGTAGTATTGAGGTCATTTCCTTGCTAGTTCCTGTATTAATAAAATCCAAGAACTGGTCCCAAACAAGATTGAGGTTGCAACCAATAATATCCCCTTTAGATTCTTTCAGGTTTTTATTAGCTAATTTCAGTATCCTATTACTCATCTCTGAAATAATATCTTTGCTTCTGTTATCATTTTTCATGAATTCTGTCTTGGTTCTGTAACTTCTTGATCTGTAGACATAGTTGTCATTTAGTTTATACCTAATTTTTGCCTTCATTTGCTGTTTAGTCAAATGTTACTTTACAATATTATCAATGTATTGTTTGCCCACAGGTTTTATAATTCTTTTATCCAGAATGAACATATCTTTTATGACACAACCCACATTGGGTATGGGTTGCACAGTATTTTCTTGTTGCAACTGAATATACATCTCCCTGTAGATTCTGAGCTAACATTTGACCTAGTTAATAATCCCCCTCAAAGTTTCTGCTTAATTTTTATCATATTCCTAAGTTTCGGAATCCTCTGCCAGTGCACAGGTAATGAAAATCAATGTCCTTAACTCTAAAGAAACTTCATCCAGTTGCTGATGTCAAATCCCTCCCACGGTGGTGGTTGAGAGGCCTCTTGGCAGAGAGGAAGTGTCCACCGAGAATAAGGACCCAGATATTCTCATTGCATTTGGAGTAGAGAGGCTAGCAATCCACAAATTCATTTAATTCTGCCTATGATTTATTTTTATATAAATATCAAGTAGTGTGATGGAGCAATGAAGTTGTTCTTTGTTCCATGAAGGCAAAAGTATTCATTTCTGAACTTTGGCCTTGTTAACTTATAAACTTTATCTCTGCTAACGCCTTGACCTCACCTTTTGCTGCTTATATCCTAGTATTCATTTTAATTTCATGAAGAATTTAGGTCACTGAAAATGAGTGACTAAGAAAACATGTAAGAAAAATAAATGAATGAATTTTTTGTGAGGCTAACATTGATTAGATGTGCCCTTTCTTTTAACTTCCCTGTGTCTGTCTCTATGGATATCTATTTCTCTGTACTCTTCTCTTTCTCCTTCTTCCCCTCCCTCTCTTTCTGCTTCTTCCCAAGTTTGGGTTTTTCTTTTCATTGCTGAGGATTGAACCCCAAGCTTTGCTCATGTCAGGCATGTGTCCTACTGAGTTGCATCCTCAGCCCAAATCTTTATGCTTGACCACTTGTTGCTCCTTTGCCCATCTTCATTTTTCTGGTGTTACTCTATGCTTCTTGAAATCAAGAGCTCCTCTGCAACCTTTGATACCAGCTGATCAAGTGAGGATCTCTACAGGGGTCATAACAATGGAATAAACATTTCTGGGAGCACTGATTTTTTTTTTTAATATATAGATGGCATGGAGGATAATTGCAGAAATGTGAGAAAAGATATTCTAGGTCTTTTACATCACTGCTTTCTAGCAGGGGAACGCAGCTACTCATATACCCTCGACTGAGGAAATGGTCCTCCTCTATGGGGAAGAGTTGTCCTTTTCCACCCAGCACAGAGCTTTGGGAATGGTGCACCTGGAGTGGTGAGGGAAGAAGGAGACCCCTACCTAGCCAACCAGATCACCTGAATCAACCCTGGCTATCAATGGGGTGACAGATGTCACATCCAGATTGCCCTCACATCCACTGCTTTCTTCTTGTTCAGATATTTTTCCAAACAGCCTTTCCTAAAAGGAAAGGTTCATATGACCCAGTTTTGGCTGTGTGATAGAAGATCTGGAAGAATCTTAGAAAAAGTGCCCCATCCTCTCTTAAAGGAAAGCTGTTTTCAGTGCCTTTTTTCCCCTTGTTTAGGACATTAGTTGTTATTGAGTCTAGATCTGTAGCAACAATGTTATATGTATGAGGTGAGACATACAAAGATGAAAAACCACTCTGTTAAAGATGTCAGGGAAGAAAAATGGAAAGAACCTGCTTTCCAGATGACTTTTAGCCACTGAATTGATGCCAATAATCACATATCTTAACATTTTGAGACAATAAATAATCTGAAATTCTGGATTTTTTCAGTCACTTTGTCATGGCGTGACAGCCAGGTGTCTTCACTTTTGTTGAAGTATATTTCCTAAATTAGCTGCTTTGCAGATTACAAGTTCTATATTAAATTCTGTCATTTGCCATTTATAACCTTCCTTTAGGGTTAATATAGTCATATGAATAGCATGTGTCTTAGTCACTTTCCTTGCCCCTCGGATGAAATACCTGACCTCCTCAACTTAAAGGAGCAGAGGTTTATTTTGGCTCACATTTTTCGTCCATAGTTGGCCAGCACCAAGGCAGAAAGGCATGGTGGAAGGGCCTGGACACAGGAAAGCTGCTCATGTTGTGGCAGCCTGGAAGTAGAGAAGAGAGGAACCAGGGAGAGCGATGCACCCTACCAGGTCACACACAAAGGGGGCCATCTTCCCATTAGGCCCCACCTCCTAACATCACATTTAGCTGTAGTCCCCTTTAAAAAGCCCCAATTCTGAGCACATGTGGCTCATATAGATAAAGAACATAACAGTATCTTAACAGATCCTTGTTATGTCATTTCTCAAGGAGAGTTTTCCCATTCACATAGTTCTTTCCCATTCACATAGTTCTTTCCCATTCACATAGTTCTTTCCCATTGCTGTAGCTTTTCAGGCAAAGAAAACTGGGTATATCTGGCTGAGGTAAAACTGGCAGTATATTCCAACCACAGAAATGCAAAGGAAGTCCAAATGGACCATTCCCACCTGACTGGAAGTGTTCTTACATCCCAGAATCTACTTTCTATACTAGTTGAGTTGTGGGAATGGGTATTTGGCAAGCAAACATGAGAGTACTGCTGAGCTTTTTTGAGTGCTGTGCTCAAGCAGTGTGTTCTGGGCCCATGACACCATACACCAAATTTATATGCTTGGTCATTGGTTCCACTTTGTGGACATTTGCCTCATCATATAGTAGGAATTTTTCCTCTTCTCATTTCCCAATACAGCACCATTTGCAGACTTAATGCCCAATGAAGAGGCTGCTCTGGCTACAGCAGTCGAAGCATATTCAGTTTGGGCCAGTTTACCAGAGAGGCTGAAAGTGCCCAGTGAAACGCTATACTCACGCTCTGCCATCTTTACTCAGAAGCCCTTTGACTGATCTTTTATCTCTGTCTTATTGTTGTGGCTTGCTAGTAACCCCCATAAAGCACATTTCATTTGATTCTGATGAGCACTGAGTTCACCTATTGCTCCTTTAAATTGTGGTTATTTTAAGACCAAAGGCTACATCTTAGGTCTCAGTTCCTATGTAAGACTTTCATATGGGGAGTAAAGTTAGGATGGGAGATGTTCTCAGAACCTGCCTCTTAAATGGCCACTAACTTTATGGTCGGAAGACCAAAAATCAACCTTCAGCTAGACCTGTGAAAATCTGGAAAATATTATCCTTACAAATGATTTTGTAAACACTCCAGGAAATTGGTTCCTACCACTATTCCAGCAGCTACTGGAGCCAATTTGGCTTCAGGTCTTAGACACATGATTTGTCATCTGTTTGATTTTTTTATGACAGAGCTGGAATTCTGGATTGTTTTCCACTTAAAAACTGCCAGAGCCAAATCAGAAGTAGACAGGGTGGGATACAAAATTCTCCCTTCCCACTCAGTTTCACAGGGTAAAACTTACAGGCAGTTTTCCCAGAATTGCATTTTGTGTCTGGCTTTTCAATCAAGTATCATTTTTTTCTATAACAAGATCTTAGATATTAGAAGTTAAGGGTTGGGGGGCCGGGGATTTAGCTCAGTGGTTCCACTGCCTGCCTCGCAAGCAAAAGGACCAGAGTTCGATCCCTGGTACCAAAAAAAAAAAAGTTAAGGGTTGGGCTCACCTTCCAATATAGACTAGGCTCCAAAAATAGCTTCTACTGATACTCATTTTTAGGGGAAAAGAAAGAAGATGTAACAGGTGAGCCTCTCTTATATGGCAGGTTATTTGTGTCACTTTCATTTCTCACACCCTATAGGTAGGCCTTATTCTTTTTTACTTCTCAGTGGGAATTAAAGAAGCTGGTATTTTGCCCCGGGGGGACAAAACTGGAATTTGAACTCAGAGTCTCAAGAGTTGAAAGTTTGATATAGCATCTTTTACCTGCTTCTCTTAAAAATAATCATCTAACACTGAAATATAAACTTCGTCTCCAAAACTGGTTTTGATACTGATTTCCAGTCTAGATAGAACTGAAACTAGTACTTACTTTTTTCACCTAAAATAACTTGAAAACCAGACTCTCAGCAGTTTTTAGACACCAGTCACTGAGCAGTGCAGGGCAGTGATCCCTGAAACAAGGGGCACAAATGAGCTGAATCCTACTATTGCTCCAGCCAGTGCCAGGAGAGAGCTTCCAAATGGCAGCTCGAGGAGTAAGAGGTAAGGCAGAATCCAGAGGTTTTCCTGAGTTGAGAAAACAATTGCAAGTCCACACAGGCCAAAATGGGTTCATAATGCAAGTAGAGCCCAAAAGAGGAGAGAGCTGAACAGAAAGCTTGGTGATCTAATG